GCAGCAGTCGTAGAGGTCTGGGCATCGTTACTGTTTGGTCTCTATCCATTTGCCTATTCATACCTGGAAAACTCCTTGGAAGCGAGAATGGCCAGACTTTGTCTTACCTGCTTTGGTCATGTTGTCAGAATGGACCATTCCTTGGAGAAGGATATCATGCTTGGTCAAATGGAGGGTCAGGAAAAAAGGTGAAGACCCTCAAGTGGAGGGTCAGTGAAAAATGGGAAGACCCTCAGTGAGGTGGATTGACACAGTGGCTGCAGTGATGGGCTCAAGTGTAGCAGGGACTGTGAGGCTGGCGTGGGACGGGGCGGTGTTCCGTTCTGTTGTACGTGGGGTCACTGAGTTGGAGCCGACTCGATGGCACCTCTCAACAACAGCAACAACATTTCTTAGAATTGAGACCATACAGTCCCTGTGCTTTTGTTATTGACTTACTTCACTCGGCATGTCTTCGAGCTTCTCCCGTGAAGTTGCATGCATCAGGATGTGGCTGTGTAGTTCTCCACTGTAGGGATGGACCACGTGCTGTTCATCCATTCGTCCGTTGGCTGACGTTCGGTGGTTCCCACCTCTTGGCTGTTGTGAGGAGTGCTGCCGTGGACGTTTGTGGGCATGCGCCTGGCTGTGTTACTGACTTCAAGTCCTTTGGCCATATGTGTAGGAGCGGACTGGGGGGGTCATGTGGTAGTTCTGATTTTAGTGTTTTGGGGAGCCATCACACTGTTTTCCACAGTGGCTGTACCATTCTGCGTTCCCATTAGCAATGGCAAAATGTTCTAATTTCCCTACGTCCTTGCCAACATTGCTTACTTTCCCTTATTTTTATCTTAGTTATCCTAGTTGGAGCAAAGCGGTGTTCTGTTGTGGTTCTGATTGGCATCTCTCTGGGGCTTAAAGAGATGGAGATCTTCTCATACATTTGTTGTCCGTTTGAGTGTCCTCCTTGGTGAAGTGTCCTTTGCTCATTTTTGATTGGATTATTTTTATTGTTGTTGTTAAGTTGTTGAAGTTCTATATTGTGGATGTTAGACTCTTTTTGGGTGTATGGTTTCTGAAAGTGTTCTCCCAATCTGTAGGTTACCTTTTCACTTTTTTGATACAGTCCTTTGATGAACAAATATAAGGTCTCATTTATCTATTTTATCTTTTTTTTTTTTAATCGTGATTTGGGTGGAAGTTTACAGAGCAAATTCACTTTCCATACAGCAGCTCACATACACTTTGTCTCATGACATTGACTACGTTTTCCCATAATGCAACAGCTTCCCTCCACTTCCTCCCCATAGTTACCTCTTCCCTGTGTCGTTTCCTCCCACGCACTCCTGGCTCCTGAGCTATCTCCCTGTGCATACACAGCCCTTCTATTCTTCCATGATTGATCTCTCCAAGGAGTGTATCTGTTGTTGTTGTTATGTGCCGTCAAGTCAGACCCGACTCATAGCAACCCATCCTTAGGTTTCCGAGGCAGTATCACTACAGAAGTAGATTGCCCCATCTTCTTTCCTAGGTGTATCTACCTGATATAAATGTTCAGAGAATATGTGTTTTGTTTGTCTGGAAGCCACAGGAGTGGGTTCAGTTCCGGACCTGAAAGGTAGAAGGGCCATAGTCTCAGTGGTTCCATTAGGCTCTATCAGACCAGCAAACCTGGTCCCTTTTTTTTTTTTTTTTAATGATTTTGTGTTTTGTTCCACATTGTTCTCCCTCTCTCTCCAGGATCTCCTACGTAGTGGTTGTGTTTCCTTGGGGGCTTGTGAGGGTCATGCTTGTCTTCTCCGTCCACAGTGAGCTTGGGGGGGGGCTGCGTCAGGAGTTCCCACTGCAGAGGGCACAGCTGACACTTCATGTGGCCGTGACTCCAGCCCTTCAGACACAAGGTTTTGGCTTAAAAATGATAAACCTTTGTACTTGTGAACACTTCTCCTGCCTCGGTATTCAGGAAGTGGAGGCTTTTGCCTTGTACCACAAGGCCCTGGATCTACAGAAACACGACCGGTTTGAAGAGTCAGCCAGAGCCTACCATGAGCTTCTAGAGGCACGCCTGCTGCGGGAGGTGAGGCTGCAGGGGCGAGGCTGGGAGGGGCAAGGTTGCAGGGGTGAGGCTGGGAGGGGCGAGGCTATGGGGGTGAGGGTGTGGGGGGAAGCTGGGAGGGGTGAGGCTGAGAGAGGCAAGGCTGCAAGGGCAAGGCTTGGAGAGGTGAGGGGGCGGGGGCGAGGCTGCAGGGGGCAGGGGTGAGGCCGCAGTGGGCAAGGCTGCAGCAGGTGAGGTTGCAAGAGGGAGTGGGAGGCACCAGCAGCCAGCTGTGCACGTGGCTCACACTAGGAGCTGGTGACCTGGGCCTTGCCCTCTGCTCTCCCACCTTGTCACCTGGCTAATATCAGAGACTACGTCACCTCTGTCCTCAGTTTCCCCACCTGTAATACGTTATCCACCTCTTTAGGGGGAGGGCTGGCTGAGCAGGAGCTCGGGAAAGCACAGGGAACGGTTCTCGGTTCTTGGAGATGGAGAGTGCACAGCCGTCACTGTGACTTAGTCCTCACATCCACTCAGCAGGGCAGAGGGGTGTCCCCATTCCCAGCTGTGAAAACTGAGGCTCAGTGAGGTGTAGGCTCAACGCCACCGTGGTGTGAAGCCTGAGAACCAGGACTGGAGCCCGTGGTTTTCCACCAGCTGGCCCTTAAGCAGCGCACTATGGCTGATGCCGTTTGAGTGACAAGAACTCAGGCCATCTGGTCAGTACTGTGGGCTTTTGAACATCATCTGAGAGAGAGTTGAGGGAAAATCAGCTCAGAGCTGAGGGTCTCCTACGTGTGTGTGGGC